CCTCTGTCTCTCTCCATCCTGTCCATAAGCACTCATTCTCTTTATCATGAGCTGGATAAATGTAGACATTTTGTGTCTGAAAGTGACATCTGAAAGGGAGGAAAATATGCATAGATTTGGAAAACAATTATGGATTTTCAGTTGGGAGACAACTAATATTTTTACCAGTCATCACTGGAAATGTGCTATATGGCCAGTTGCCAGCCTGTAACAGATCAGCACTGGAGTGTGTGAGCTCTTGCATGTCCCAAAATCAACATTTGGCTCACTGGTGGCAAGACTGGCTTCTTGCAACCATGGACCAGGTTTTTGTGCATTTAAGGGCTGTGTGTATGAGGGTGATGCAGAGGGTTTGTATGTTGTGCATTCACTGGGCTCTTGTTTTCATTCTGCTGGTGCATGCAGCCAAGGTGGAGCAGGTGAAGTTTGACACCACTCAGCTCCACGCCAGACCAGAGCTAGCTGCTGAGCAGAGAATGGTAGATGATGCCTCCGGGGAAGTCGAGGTGAGAGAGCTCCTTTTGCTGAGAAATGATGCAGTTACCAGAGTGTTTCCAAACATCTCTGCCTTTTCACACACTGCAGCTGTATGGAGCTGTGAAGGTCTGCCCCCCCATCCTCCCCAAGGAAGCATGGCTGCAGCCAGAGCAAAGTGCTGCAAGCTCTAATGCAGCAGTTACAGAGGAGCATTTCTCCTCCAACCCACGACCACTGGAGCAAAGCGGTCACTGAGATGACTCTTCTCCAGCTGTGTGTGTGGATCATGAGACTGATACAGTCAACCCCCTTCTCACACTGTCTCCAAGTTAGGTCCATATCAACCAAACTTGTGCAGAGCAGAGGCTCCTCTCCCATTCTTGTGGCCTCCCATGGAAGATGGAGCTGGTTGAGAGAGGGGCTATGGGGCAGAGAGGGACCTGGAGACTGCTCCTCCTTGAGGGCTATGGACTATTGAAAGTCCATTAATGGCACATGTATTGCCACAGTCACTGGAGAGACCTGACTTTGCCCGTAAGAACTTAATCAAGCTGGGGGCTGGCAGCTGGGGGCTGGCATCTGGGAGAGAAAGGAAGGGTTATCTTTCCAACTGAAGACCTGAACTTCAGTGGTCTTCTGGCAAAGGGGCTGCACTGTCTTCATGTTGACTCCACTGCTGCTCATCAAGAAATTTCGTTCACTAGGTGTGGAGGATTGAGGACTTGGAAATGCAGCCAGTGAATCCCAAGACATATGGGCAGTTCTATGGAGGTGACTGCTACCTGGTGCTGTACACCTACTTGAGATCAGGCAGGCCTCACTACATCCTCTACATGTGGCAGGTAGGTCAAAACAAAGCAGAAGAGGCTGTGCTGAGTCTGAGGGAAGCCTGAAACTGAAGGGAGCAATTAGATGCAAAAATCACAACCCAAACATCCAGAAGAACTCAGATGCCCTTTGCTAATCAGTTGTCCATTGCAAATATTCCAAGCTGCACTTCGTAGACAGCATGGACACTGAGCCCAGGCTGGTATCAAACTGAAAGCCAGCAATGTCAGATAGAAATAGTGAGGGATTATGGGGCTTGCAGTGCTGAGGACAAACTTTGCAGTCATTCAGATTGTCCCTTAAAGCCTCAGCTCCTGGAGTCATGTGATTATATGTATATTTCTGCCTTCCTTTTTGAAAATGGGATACTGAAATCTCCAAAAACAGTTTGCAAGAGAAATGTAATCATCATTTTAACTCACGATATTATATGCAGGGGCTTGGGATTGGCAAGATGTTAGTTGTGCAGAGCCTTATACCCTTCACCTCACCACGTTGCCTGTGGCATCTTTCTCTTCCCCAGGGTCGCCATGCCTCTGTGGATGAAATCACCGCCTGTGCCCTCAATGCCATCGAGCTGGACAAGAAGCATGGGGACGAGGCTGTGCAGGTCCGTGTGACCATGGGCAAGGAGCCCACACACTTCCTGGCCATCTTCAAGGGCAAGCTGATCATTTACGAGGTAATGTGGCTTTGGGCCTGCGGGCAATGGGAGGTGCAAGGACCGATGATGGCTTGGCAGTTGCAATGGAAACAGTCCAGAAAAATGGGCTGATATTCAGGAAAGGAATCTGCTGGGTCTGCATGGGCTGGCAGGTAGAAGTGGTGGAACATGGCTACTATTTCCCAAGCGGTCTGAACACCATATGTGTAAATGCAGTCCTGGACTGACCCAGACTCAGCTGCCCACCACTGAGCTCCAGTGTTAATGTGTGATGCTTTTCCAAACTCTATCCCAAAATATATTGTAAAGTTACAATAAGACAATCATCCTGTAAATTACAGATACCACTGTCCAGAGAGGGTCCTCCAAAATATCCTACAAACTGTTACATGATTTGAATTGTCCCTGCCCGAATTATATCACATTCACTACTAACCCACTTCACTTGCTGCTTTGGCTGCCCACATTTCTGGTGGAGACATTACAAACAGCTGAGGGTCTGCCCTCAGCTCTCAGTGCTGGTCCCACCATACAACTTCTATGGCAGTTGTTCAGCTAAGCTGAGCGCAGCTGGAACTCCAAATCCAGTGTCTTGCCCAGTTTATATGGCAAATGCTTTGCAGACACTAAGATCTGTTCATGTTGAACTGGAATATTTTGATGAGAGCTGGTCATGACTCAGAATAACCAGGGACAAACTAAAGTTATGACATGTGGGTTTTATTCTGACCTGGAACCAGGAGGTATTTGTATTTCCTCACCTGCTCTGTGCAGGACCATGGTCTGTTGTTACAGCAGCATGGAATGCTGTGACCACAAGAGCCTTCTCCCTCAAACCAGTCACACCCTGGATTTGGGTGCCCTCTTCTCCTCCCAGTACCATCCTTCCCTCTGTTTCCTTGCAGGGCGGTACGAGCCGGGCTCAGAAAAGCACACCCGAGCCAGCGATCCGCCTCTTCCAGGTGAGGGGCACGGATGAGATGAACACAAAGGCCACGGAGGTGCCAGCCCGGGCCTCCTCCCTCAACTCCAACGATGTCTTTCTGCTGACGACCAGCCAAGTCTGCTACCTGTGGTGTGGGAAGGTGAGACCGCAGTGAGCCCTGGGGAGGCAGCTGAAGGGACCCAAAATTTGCTCATGGTGGGCTTGAGTCTCCTAAATCCACTGAGCTGTGGAGATGTATCGTCGGGCAGGTAGCCCATTCATTTCAGTGGAGGAAGGTGCACCCAGAAGCAGGCTCCATCTGCAGAAGATCAGCAGTAACACAACCCTCTTTCTACAGAAATAACCCATCTTGTGGTTCACCTCATCTTGTTTTAGATGTTCATACAACTTTCAGCTGAATAAAGGACCCCAGGTTCTCCAGCTGTAAGAAATTAGCCAGGATTAAAGCATTATCATTTGGTCTGTTTTAGTCATGTGTTTCAGGATGGGATGGTAGATCAAAATGAAGAAGGGTTGCCCAGAGAGGTTGCAGATGTTTCAAGTGTTCAAGGCCAGGTTGGATGGGGCTTTGAGCAACCTGACCTACTGAAAAATGTCCCTGCCCACCTCCCATGGCAGGGAGGTTTGACTAGATCATCTTTTAAGGTCCCTTCCATCCCAAACCACTATATTTATATGAGTTTTGCTCTAGACGCCATTGGCTGCACTGAATGTCCCTTCAAGGACTAGAAGTGGACTCTGAGTGACCAGCTCACACGAGACTCTCAAAAGCATTCAAGCAGGTCTGAAACTCTCCAGAGGAGGGTAGGACCAAGCCAGGTTTTCCCTAGAGATAAGTTTTGCCTGTATGTCCCTATGTCCACCTCAATCTTCTGTCCTGAACACAGGGATGCAGTGGAGATGAGAGGGAGATGGCAAAAATGGTAGCTGACATCGTTTCCAAACGGGACAAGCACACCATTTTGGAAGGACAAGAGCCAGCAGAGTTCTGGGAAGCCTTGGGAGGCAAAGCACCTTACGCCAGTGAAAAGAGGTAAGAGTGACCTGCTTGTTCCTCTAGGCTTGGCCAGGCACCATTAGTCAAGGGACCAAAACTGCTGGAAAGTGAGTAAGCACTTTGACACTCCCTTACCAAAGGGAGCACCAGGTCAGAATACTGCCAAAAGCTTGGTCAGAAACCACACCAAAGTGTGTCTTCCCTATGGGTCAAGCTGCCTATGAAGTAAGAGCTCCAGATTCTAACCCTGCAGACAAGGGGATGCTACATCTTCCTTTTCCCACAGTATATCCATCCCATATCTTGTTGTAAGGGCTACATGAACCACATACTCCATTTCCAGACATCACGAGCTTTATGGGCAGCCCCCGAAAATTCATGAAACTAAACCTGCTTTTGAACAACCTGGATTTCTCCAGCCCTCTGGGCAGGTGGTGTGTTCCTTTGTAACCAAGTGATCTGATGTGGCTTTCACCTGACAACAGGCTCATCTCTGCAAAGAGAGAAGTGTTCTGCTTTTGGCCTCTTTGGGTGGGGAACCTTTAAAAAATGCTAAAGTGGTTAGAGAAACCCCTGAGACCTGACATTGCTGACTTTCAGGCCCTCAGGTGAACGTTGCCATGTTCCCATCTCTTCCATCTTGCTTTTTCTTTCCCTGCCATGCATGAGGAAGGTTTCAAGAGCAAATCACACACTACCAGCCTCGCCTCTTCGAGTGCTCAAACCAGACGGGTCGATTCATCATGACAGAGGTGGTGGGCTTCTGTCAGGAAGACTTGGACGAAGATGATGTCATGCTGCTAGACACATGGGAAGAGGTCAGCACTGACACCCCCTCCTCTTCCTCTCAGACGTATTTTCAAACAGGTTATGGCTTAATTTGTTTGAATCCATCATTCAATGTGAAACCGAGGGCAATATGCTTCCTGTCCCATCTCCAAACCCTTCACAATGTTCGGTCAGACAAGCAGGCCTGTGTCCAATCCTTCTCACCCAGGTACCAAACACAGTCCATGCCTTGCTCTAACGTAAGATGAGCTAGACCTGCTCCAGTCTTGGCCAGCTCATACAAGGGGGTAGCACCCAGAAACCCTCCCTCTCATTTCTCATCACTGATGGTGAGGACTTGCTTTAAACTATTGGTGAAGAAATCTGCTTTCTGAGGCCATTTGATTTTTTGGCCATGCAAAGATTGAGTTTAGCTACCTTGAAGCATGTGAGAGCTGTTTTCTGAAATATTTATGCTTTAGGCCTGTCTCAAAGGCAAAAATCCTTCTTGTCTGGGAGGAAATCTGGGACCAAGGTCCCAAGGGACTATTGGGAAACAACAATTCCAGTCTTATCTCTGCTTTAGTTGGCAGTGGTGAACAAACAGCCATATCTGCACAGGTCCTAACTGCTTACTGATTTCCAACACCTTCTTTCCTTGCAGATTTTCCTTTGGGTCGGCAAAGCCTCCAACACATACGAGAGGAATGAGGCAATTGCCTCAGCTAAGGAGTACCTCAAAACCCATCCAGCAGGGAGAGACTTGGCAACTCCGATCATACTGGTGAAGCAGGGCTACGAACCCCTCAACTTCACAGGATGGTTCAACGCTTGGGACCCGTACAAATGGAGCGTAAGTTGATGGAAATGCCTTGTGGTATGCAGACTTGCTCAGCAGTGCTTAAAGGGTGTTATTGTCAGTGAATATATCCTCTATGGTGCATGTAGCGAAACCTCACTGTGACATGTCCCGAGTTTCACAACTTCCTAGTGCTACCAGCTAGTGCTACTCCTTCACCAGCAAAAAGCACCTATCTGGTGAAGCAGAGGCTTTTGCAAATACAAGTAAATGTGCTTGAATTCACAATATTCACATTTTTATTTTAAGAAAAGCTAGATTCTAAATCAGATTTGTGATTTCATCCAAAAAAGGGTTGAGGCTTCTAGTAGTAAAATCAAGTTCAGAGTGAAAACAGAAGCACCTACATCAAACAGAAGCACCTACATCATAAAGAAAATAGAAAAAAATGCTTATTTTCTCAAAATGCAGCCACAGAGAAAAATTTATGGTCCAGCTTTAAGCGAAAAGTCTGGTGAAATGAAAGATGCGAGCAGATGGGTCTTGTGTTCAGCTTTGCAGGCTGCCCATCAGAACCCAAGGAGCTGCTAAGCAAGGTCACCCTTGGTCCCTGCAAAATAGTTTTCCTCTCAAAAGGTGATTTACAGATACAAGCTCTCTGCTATACAGAGATGGAAACCTGCCCCAGGAGTTGCCTGGGAAAGAGAGGAGATGGAAACCTGCCCCAGGAGTTGCCTGGGAAAGAGAGAAGTCCCTTGTTCCCTCTTTCAAACACACAGACTTCAGATGATCTTAGGAGTATAACACAGAGCAGACATTTGCTTGAGTGGGCACACAGGGCCCTGTCACGCATTGTCAGGACCCAGGCTCCAACCCTGGTTGTGCTCAATATGGTTGCATGGAAGAAGGAGCGATGCTTTAACCCCTTGCAGACCATGGACCAGTGGGTCCAGGCAGCCTGGAACACAATCCTGGAAGGGCTTTGGTGGTTAATATACCCAAAGTATTGATTGTGCACCTAAATTTCTGCCACCCGATGGCACTGGTGTGCACGGCTTAAGAAAACAGAACAAAAAAAGAAAAGAAAGATAATGGGCATCTGGGAAAATCTCAGCTCCAGGTGGTGAATTCCCAGACCCTTCCCCAGTGTATCAGTCCTTCTTGCTCCTGTTCTACGCTATGAAAATCAACGTTCAGCCAGTTCACAAGCAATGCCATCTTCTGGTTGCCCAAGTGAAGTCCCATGCTGAAGCCTGCAGGTGGGACAGCGGGGCAATGGAGTGAATGAAGGTCCCCAGGAGACTTCACTCTGAAGGAAATTTCATACAGAGGGATTTTTTTTTCCTGTAGCTGGATTTGCATCGTCTTTCTTTGCAACTGGTGTGGTGGTAGAAAGCCTGTATTTCAGCTGGGTCTGGACAGATAAGACAGCAACTCCCAGAGCAATGACCCTTAAAGCAATGATGATGCTTAGAAAAATGGTCAAAACTTGGGTTTTTTTTCTGAGAAACTGCTGAAAAACAAGGACACTGCTCATAAAATATGTGCCTCTAAAAATATCCCTGGTAGGCAGCTTCAGCAACTACAGACAAGCAATCCAAACTGTTGACATCCCAGAAACATCTGGTGTGCGTGTTCATTGCTCAGTTTTGGGTCTAAATCTGTTTGCTCTGCCGTCCATGTGTTTGTGTTGTTTGCTTTTGTTGGGGAACTTTGTGGGATAATTCTGTTAAGAACTGACATCTCCTGGCTGCTTAGGAAAACACAGTCATCATCTTTGCCAATGTATCTAGTATATTCTCTTTTTTTAGGAACTAAGAGGTAGCTGGTAATCCATGGCACCAAATTACAAGAAGTCAGGGACTGAGGATTTGAAAAATCTGCTGTTTTAGCTAAATGAATCAGGGAAGGGGAAAAAAAATATTATTTTATCCCAAATTACCATGCACTGCAAGATTCATTTAAAATCTGAAGCACTTAAACCCAGCAGTAAATGTGATTTTGTTTGCCTTCTGCTCCCTAAAGTGTTTAGATTTTCTGTTTTCACCTATTACCGTACAACTGCAAAGGCTAAAGTCCATTTATTTCTTCATATTCAAGCGAAAGCTCTGATGCTGGCACAATCTCCTCATTCCAGGAGCTGAGGATTGCAGGAGGCACCTCAATGGTGCCACCTAAATGGGCACCACTGGGCTTTAAAATTCACGTGCTCTCCTGACTTCGTTAGTGAACAGGAGCACGGGCTAATTAAAGACGGCCCCGTTCTTCTCACAACTCTCTTTACCTTTAGGATGGCAAGTCCTATGAGGAGATGAAGAACAGCCTAGGAGACGTGTCGGCTATATCCGAGATCAAAGTGGTGAGTGGCTTCTTGACCATATGGGTGGAAAACACCTGCATTTAAACCCCACTGCTCTCCCCAGCCTGTTCACATGAAGGAGAAGGCGTAATGATCAGAGGAGGCATGGAGACCTCAGGCTGCCAGACTCAGAACTGTGGTCCTCTGTGGAAAGCAGAGGGAGATGTGATTAATAATCCATAAATAAGACCCATTAATAACACATAACTCAGATCTCCTGGGCCTTTTCCAGTCCTGTGCAGAGACATCTGTGAGCAGAAGATGGCCCAGCTGCTTTCTAAACTACATCTGCAAATAAAGTGCATGCAGCTAAAACCATGTGCAGTTAAACACTGTATGAGCAGTTTGCAGTGGTGGGGCCCCTGAGACTTTAGACAAGGAGCCCCTGGTCAAGAAAGATGCAGCCCAGTGGGGATCCTATAAAGCACAGAGGAAACAAGGTCCCAACAGGCCCAAACGTGAGTGTCATATGGGACTGGTTCTGTCCTGGACAGGGGCAGGAGAAAGGCTGAAAGGAAGTGTCTGGTGCTTTAAACCAGGAGAGATGGCAGCCTGGGGAGGGGTACACAGCTAATTTAGATGTTTTAGACATGGCAGATACCTAATCTCACCTTCTGCCCTCACACACTCACACCTTCCCCTGTTGTTATCTTGAGAAAAATGAGACTGATGTAAGTATCTGCAGCTATTTCTAAGGGCTCTCATCAGTGCCATGCTTTTAGCAGTCCTAACACCAAGATGTAGCATTGATGGAGGTGCTGGGATGATGTTTTAGTTTGGGCTCTTTCCTTGCTGCTTTGGAGCAGCAGACCAACAGATAGTCCATGCCAGAACAGTGTCCCCAACCCCAACAGAGAGGAAGATCCCGGGATAACCCACAAGTTGCTCTGCCAGAGCTTCTTGTCTTGACCTGTGTTCCTCCTTAACAGGACCTCAACAACATCAGCCTGAACAAGGGAACCCTCAGCATGACCAACTTGGCTGGTTCAAGCACACCAACTGCTTCCCCTGAGTATAAATCACACCTCAACCACAGTGACAGCAACAGCTACAGCAACAGCAGCAACTACAACAGCAACAGCAGCCCAGCCCTGGTGCCCAATGGTGAAGGGATTTACTCCCGAGAGGTGCTGATGCACAGGACGGTGGATGAACTCCCAGAAGGCGTGGATCCCACTAGAAAAGAGGTGACTGCGCTGCTGGTTCGATGCCTTTGTAGCTTAACATGCAATTTAGTCATTGACCAAGTGCGCTAGTACTTTAGACTATCTAGTCCTGCTTCAGGCTGAAGGAGGCACTGGCTGGACACGTAGGTCTCATCAAAAAGCAGGAGATTCATGCAGGAGGAAATTGTAGTAGTTTTACCCTAGTGGAAGTTGCTTGGTTTGGTTTATTGAGGGGTGGTTTTTTTTTTTAAGAAAAATGAATTTTAAATAGTTATTTTTCAAACTGTTTTCTTCTGGTAGAGTTGTTCAGTTCTACCACATCTCCAATTTCTGATCAGCCCAAGGGCTTTAGCAATGTCTGTAGCTGAGTCCAAGCAAGCCGATGGGAGGGACACAGGAGGATGACTTCCTCTACTCCCTACAACCCAAGTCTGACCAATGTCTTGCCCCAACAGATCTCCTGGCAAAGGCCAAGACCCATGCTCAGAGAGCTGATCCACAGCAGCTCTGCTCCACAGTGATGGTTGTATTTCAGCTGTGCTGTACATGACTGCTTTCTTCTACCCAAAATGCTGGGGAAAACTCAGCCTCCACTTCCCACAGGGTATTTTTCAGTATCACAGATGAGCCCTCTATCTACAAAACTTTCTTTCCAGCAATGGGACTGAACATTTCCAGTGGAATATTTGGCGGGTGGAGGGAACTCAGCGTGGGGAAGATACTTTCACTGTGAATCACTACCTAAGAAACCATCCAAAACTTTGGCCAACAGAATTTCTCTGATGCACCATTAGTTGTCCTGGCCTCAATATATTTAGTGGAGACCAAACTCCAGCCAGGGCATGCTAACCCTTCAAAACCCGGGCAATCCTTTGGGCTGGTGGGCTTTTATTCCCCTGGTGCTTTGGGAAGTGGGATGAGGAACACTTGCTGAGGTGTTTCACTTCCCACCACGAGGACAGGAGCTGTTGGCCTGGAGTCAGGGGTGATCACTGGCACAGTGAGGAGGGGATGCAGCTGATGGAGGCCTCTGCAAGAGCCAAAACTGACCTCTCCTTGCTCTCTCCTCCTGCTGCAGTACTATCTCTCTGATGCCGATTTCCACGATATCTTCGGGAAGTCCAAGGATGAGTTCTACCAGATGCCCAAATGGAAGCAGCAGAACGAGAAGAAGCAATGTGGACTCTTCTGAGACCCCAGGGGCCATCGGGCATCCGGTGGCTCTGGGACCAACCCTCGCTCTCTTAGGAGCTCCAGGGAAGAAGTACAGACATTTGCTCAATGAACCCAACCCAACATCTCAATCAGGCCAAGCTCCGGTGCCGTTATTCCAGGAGCCACTGTTGGGGGATGGCTCCTTTCTCCCTGCAAACGCTGAACCTAAGGAGGCAACGCCTTTTGCAGGAACAACTCTGCAGGATGTTTTTGCCTCCTTTTGGACACTTTATTGCTGATAGCCACAAAGACAAGTGTGTGTCACACAGCCGTATTGTAGCCTCTTCTTTCCTCTCCCTTCTGCAAATTGTCACATGCACGAGGTCATGATTTTCCTTCATTTGTAGACATTTAAAGTTGGGCAAAACAAGGGCCACTTGCAGCTGCTTTGTAAATTTTGGGTGAGGAGAGGGAGGGGGAAGCCCTAGGAGGACAGAACCTTGAGGTCAGGGAAAAGGTGATGGAGTAGCCAGATGTGTGATGGGGCAGCCCATGAAGTGACACTGGCCAGTTCTGCCCCTCCTCACCTTGCAGAAAAACTGCTTGCCAAAGAACAGCAAAGCTCAGTTGTAGACTCACATGCATAGCCCAGTGCAGGGAAAAGAAATGAGAACCTGGCTTGGAAAAAAATATGCTTAAGAACACATTTATTCACTGGTCTCTTTCAAGAGGATGCTGAGACTAAGGTAATTAATAAGACTAACAACACAGCTCTTGATTTTGACTGCCAGACAAGACTCAGTTTATCTTTTTCTTGTTTAGATGACATCTTCAATCTCACCTGGCCTCCCTGAGCACGACTGGATGCAGGTGATGGTAGGAGTCCACCTGCCTGCAGCCCAGAGGCTGGAGGAAGCCAGGAGGGTTTTGGGTATGTGGGTGTGTCCCACTGAAGGCTCTATCACAGCTCCATCCCTGTGATGTCCATAGGGATGGGAGTGCCCGTTCTGCACTGAGAGCTCAGTCTGACTGGGGAGGGCAGGGGAAATGTGAGCGATCAGTGATTAAAGGATACAGTTGTAAACAAAAGGAAGAAATGAGTATGTTTAGAATCTCTGAAGATGTGGTTTCTGCAGCTTTACTCCATTTCCAACCTGATCAGTGATTCCAAATAAACAGCCAGCAGCAGCACTGTAAGTGTCCTCGATCAGCCTGTGGGGTAGGATGGCAGCAGAGAAAAGCTCTGCAGGGCCACAGATTCTTCAAACACCTGGTCTTTAATGGGATTTGGTTGGTTTTTTTAAAAGATATCAACTAACTAAGAAGGTGAGGACCATTTGTCTTCCCATGCCCACATACCATGCTCCTGAAGCCCACCCTTGCCCACAAACAGGGGTACATGTCCATTCAGCAATTGGCCTGACTGCCCACTCTGCTGCAGAGATGTTGGATGGAGCTGAGGAGCTGCAGGTGGCTGATGTTTGAGGAGTGAAGAGCTCTCACACAGCACCTGGGACCATGCAGTAGTGGTGCAGTGTCACCATCTGGCTGGGCTGGAGGCAGGGATGGGGTCTTCTGGACAGATCTATGTGTTTAAGAATTGGTATTTCAAATAAACCACAACCCCATCATTACCTCCATGCTCCTGCCACCACCTGGTCCCATTTCTGATTGAAGGTCTAGCCAAAACCCATTGAAACCCTCTATGCAGAATAAGGTAAGAGTCAAGCAGAGACAGATCAGCTGAATTATCTGCGTGATTGCTCCTGTTGTGTTCACACTAGATACTGTCAGTGCACATCATCCCTGCTTCAGCCTGTATTGCCACTGCTGGAAGCGACAGTATTGCCACTGCCCCACTGTGGCATGCTCCTGCCAGCTCCCAGACTATCGAATTGCATGTGCTCCTCAATAAAACGCAGCAATGCCACCCACCAGCCCTGACTGTGGGCCTAACCAGCATCATGCAATCAAATGGAGAGCGGTGGAAATACAGTCGGATTAGGGAGATTAGGCCGATTTGCTACAAATTGCT